CAAAGGTAGGAGGACCATGTGTGAAGCCAGCTGAGCTACATAAACAGAACCTGTCTAAAACAAAAACAAGGTCTGGGTGTGGCAGCTCGGTGGTAGAGCCATTGCCTAGTATGAGCAAAGACCTGAGTTCAATCACCAGGAACACCAGGAGAAAAAAATGAAAGAGAGATAGAAAAAGAGAAATAAGATTGGCTGAGCAATGGAAACGAAAGATGAAACAGGAAACAAGTCGGGAGAATGCGAGTGGGACCTCAGAAGGGAAGAGGGCACAGAGGAACCTGTCCACACTCTCTCCTCACCTGTCATTCGCCTCCTGGATCTGGAAAAATAATTACCTTCTGCTCAAAAAAGCATCTAAGGTCCAGATGGTTACCTAAACATAAGCCAATGGCTGGGCTAGAGTCCCAGGGAGGATCACCATACAGTCAGAAGAAAGGTTGCAACTGTTACCCACACACAAGGAAAGCACCGGTGCAGGCAGATGTGGCTGTGACCCTCAGCAACAGAGCCAAGGCAGGTCAAGGGTCAGCACACAGCAAGACAACCAGCTAGAGGAGCCACTGGATCTGGTCATGGCCCACAGAGGCTGTGGGGATGAAAAGTTGGCTGGCCAAGTGGCCCACAAGCAGCACAGGGAGCTGCAGCAATGCTTGGGTGGATTTGTCAGTAATGCAGCAGTCACCCTTGCCCTGTAGGAAACCCCAACAAACTCCCTGGTCCTTCAAGTTAGACCTACAGACTCGTTTCTTTGAGCTGTCATTGGTGCCTTATCCATGTTAATAAATGTTTGTGGTTTCCCCTGAAAAGTCACACAACAAAGACGAAATAATTTTTTTTTTAACATTCAGAGGAAAACAGCAGGCTGTCTGTAAAAGTCATACCGACATCACATTCCGCAGCAGCATAGTGAATGGAATACACGTAAAAACTTCAGTCTAGTCAGGCGATGATGGCACGTGCATTTAGTCCCAGCACTCAGGAGGCAGAGACAGGCCAGTCTCTGAGTTTGAGGCCAGTCTGGTCTACAGAGAATTCTAGGACAGCCAGGACTACACAGAGAAACCCTGGCTCAAAGAACCTGGAGGCTGGGGAGACTTGAGCTAGATTATTAGATCCAGACAAAGGGTGTACTCAGTTGTGTGGGCAAGTCCAGGAAATGAATGCCCCCAAAAATCTAGACACAAATGATGAATTAGTACCTGAAAATATTAAACTGTCTCTTAATAATGCAACATTAGACAATAAGAAGACACACACAGACTGAGAATAAAAATATGTAATATCTGACAAATAACCCAAATCTAACTAAAGATTAGAAAACATTTCTGAAGCAGCAAGAAAAAACACACATATTTATCAAAAAAAAGAAAAGGCATAAATTTGAACAAGCATGTCACAAAAGGCACCCAAATATATAATAATAATATATGAAAAATTAGTCGGAAGCTTAGTCACCAACAACCCCACCAGCCAACAAAAATCTCCAGTGGAATCAATCCACAGACAATTTAGTAGAAAAGTGAGTAAATCTGCCATGGTATATACTCAATTAAAACTTGACCAGAGCTAAATATACATGAAAAACCATGTGAAATCCGAGAAAGTACCTGTGTGGGATAAAAACCAGACATGCGCATGACCACACATATATGGCTCCATTAAACAAAGTACAATACAAAATGGTTGCACGGTACTTGGATTCAAAATAGTGATTAACAGGTGTGTGACACTTTGGGGGCGGGATGTTGTGATTTAGGTAGTGTTTTCATAGACATGTGTACTAAGGATCAGGGCTAGATAGCTGAGATTTGTGGAGGGGTTGTATATATTTGTTTAATGTGGTGTGTGTGTGTGTGTGTGCGTGTGTGTCTGAAGGTCCATGCGTTCCAAAGCACATATATGGAGGTCAGAAGATAACTTTTGGGAGTTGATCCTCTCCTTTTTCCACGGGCTCCAGAGATAGAACTGGATATCAGGCCTGGATGGCAAGTGTTTTCCCACTGAGCCATCTCACCAGCCTAGATTTGTATATTTTATTTAATGTATACTTCTAAAAATATACTCAAAGATAAAGAGTCCTATAAGTAGTTATACGATGAACAAATCAAAAAAGACAAAAAGTTCTATTTTATATTTGTATATATCTAAATATATTTGTATATATTTAAATATATTTGTATATTTTTTAAAAGGCAAAAGAGACACCTAACCAAAAAAATAAAAAATAAACTCATAATCATAGTTGACTTTATCAAGACTTTTCCTGGTAACTAACTGAAAAAAAAAAACACATTTCAAAGACAAACTGGAAGCATAACTCGGCTGTAGAGCCTAGCATGTATGCTGCCCTGAATTCAATCTTTAGCACTGAAAAAAATAACAATAATGCCAGACATGGTGGTATACTTCTTTAATCCCAGCATTTAGGAGGCAGAGGCAAGCCAGTCTCTGAGTTTAAGTACAGCTTGGTCTATTGAGTAAGTTCTAAGACAGCCAGAGCTAAACAGAGAAACCCTATCTTTAAAAAAATAAATAAACAAAAATAAAAATAAGACAATAATAATAACAACAACTACGTAACTGTCTTGAAATGCCTTTACTAGAACTTGGGTGTATCCCATTCTTTCCATAATACTTATTGATGGCCCATGCTTAAATCTCTGTTAAAATCTATTTTAATAAACCATGACTCTGCTTTTGAAAACAATAACCAGGATATATCGAGCCTGACAAATCACCAAGCTGACATATCAGACGTGCACAGCTGTTAAGTAACTGTGGGACACACATTTTCACAAACACTGGAGCATTTCCTCAAGCATTTTAAGAGACTTAGCTTTGAAGCAAGTCACAACAACAACAACAAAAAAAGACACAAAATATACTCACTGATGTCAATGGAATTAAGGTAGAACCCAAAGTCCAAATGCATGAGAAATGGAATTTACAAAACTATTTTGAAAGGCTAGAGAGATGGCTCAGAGGTCAAGAGAACTTGCTGCTTTTCCAGAGGACTTGGGTTTGGTTCCCAGCACCCACACAACCATCTGTAACTCCAGTTCCAGAAGACCCAGTGGCCTCTTCTGGCCTCCACAGGCTCCAGGCCACAGTGTACAAACATGGAGGCAAACTATCCATGCACATGAAATAAAACTAAAAACTAGAAATTGAATATACATGTCCAGGGCTAGAGAGATGGCCCACCCATCAGCAGCTCTTGCTGCTCTTTCAGAAGATCTGAGTCTGGTTTCAGCATCCAGCCTCTTGGAGCTCCAGCATCCAGAGACCTGATGACCACTTCTGGCCTCTACAAGCACCCATACCTACTCAGGCATGCTCTCCTCTCTCCTCTCTCTTCTCTCCCTCCCCCCTCTCCCCCACTCTCTCCTTTCTTCCCCCATCTTCCTCTTGTTGTTCATTTAGAGATGTTGATTGTGGTTTGTTAGTAGCCATGGACAAAAAAGAAACAAAAGGAAAGAAGGGAAAGATTCAGGGATTTTCCTAATTCCTCTCTCCCCTCCATCCTTGTTTCTCTCCTATTGAGTGTTAGGGGGTGAAACCAGGGGGACAAAGAGTGGGAAAAAGAAGAACCCTCAAAGTAGCAAAGACTGGCTACATGCATATATTGACTTAATTATTACTTTGAAAAGCAACATATGATCTAGGCAATGCAGCTAGCATTCAGCAATTCTAATCCTAAGTGTATATCCTAAAAAAACAACTGCACAATTTCAGCAGAAAATGAGTTGGCATATAGTTACAATGCCTTTAAATTGCTAAAGAAATGGCCACCAATAAGTAAGTAATTATAGATGCACAGAAGGGGGTCTTGGAGACTAGAAGTGGAACATGAAAGTAGAGGGTGGGGAGAGCCTCACAAAGGAAGATCGTGAGCAACATATTCATGTTTGCACTTCCAAGATGTTGGAGCTATCTTGGGCTAAGTTAATACCCTTGGCCATCCAGGCTACATACCACTGATCTTCCATTACCTCACCAGCATCTCCATCTTCTACTATCTCCTCTTCATGTGTTCTCTACTTTACTTTATATGCTTTATTACTATTATATATTACATATATTTGTTATCTATATTACATATACTATATTTATTTATATAGTAATTATATTGTATATTACATATTATTACATGTGTAATATAGAATATATTATATTATATATTTATTATATATTATATATTATATATTATATATTTTATATTTTATATTTTATATTTTATATTTTATATTTTATATTTTATATTTTATATTTTATATATTATATGATACCCGTGGCCTTAGCAGCTTAAGCAAGATGTTATACCCATAACAGTTCTAAAATAAACATTGGTACTGTGGTAAGTGTTCTCTGCCTAAGTTCACTCTTTCTCATACTCAAGGACAGCTGAGATAAGTGGGACAGGAAGCAAATGCTCTGGCATAATTCAGCTTTGCCTTCCATGCTGCTGCCTGTCCAGCCCAGTGTCCCAAATCAAAAGAAAAAGCAGAGGCCAGAGGCATCTGGCCTGTATCTCTTACTGGGCCCTGAACCCCTCGGAATCCGGGAGCCCCAGCATGGAGGGAAGAGAGATGCCCACCTGGACAACGCTATCCCTATGGACTTGGTTCTTCAACAGCATGTTGTTCCGCCACTGCAGGTACTTCTCCTGGTGGGCTTGAATCTCCTGTGGGAGATTAGAAGGTCGATGTGGGAAGTCCTCATCATTGACATCAGGCTGGGGTGATGGGGCCAACAGCTTTCCATCTGTGAGATCTTCCTGAGAAATGGGTATCCCAAACTCTTGGCTGAGGTCTTTAATCATGGAGGAAGAAGGCAGCAGGTCTCTCATAACCACCTCCTTGAGCCTGGTGCTGTTGTGGCAGATGTCATGGATCCTGAAATGAGGAACGGCCAGCCGCTCAGCCTCACCTGCATAAACACCCTCACTTCACAGCAGAAGTGAAAGGTCAGGTGACTAGTGGTGCCAGGTCCGAGCTGGTTTAGTTGGCTACGACTCCTGGTATATGCCTCTTATCCCCAAGCTTGCTAAAATTAGGGGCTTCCCACAATAAGCACCAAGGGTTTTTTTCTGACTGTGGCTTTATTCATGGTCTTCATCAGCCCCACACTCTGCTAGAGAAGCACCCCAATACACTAGCTGACCCTTAGCAAGTAGATCTCAGAGTCCTCCTGCAGTGGAGAAAATGATGCAATCACAGCTCTTTCCAGCAGAGCTTGTAGCCTGAGTGGCAGTGCTACCTCCTGAATCCCATGGGAAGCAATGGACCACACCTAGGCTGGCCTACAGTAGTGGTCCCAGGAGCCACACTGACAGCATCTGGGAACTTCTGGGTGCTACTCACTACCCCTGCTGTTTCCCAAGTCTGAGGCGAGATATAGTCCTGACTTAGCAGACTGTCTCTTACTTGCCTTTCTGAACCTCTGTTTCCTCAACTGTCAGAAACAAAAAAAAAGACACAGTGACTGTGGCTGTAGCAGTACATTAGTCACTTTGCTTGTTGCTGTTGTCAAATACCTAACAAGCAACTTGAAAGCAGAGTGTTCATTTTTGGCTTTCAGTTGGAGGGGATGCAGTGCCTCACGGCTGAGAAGGCATGGATAGTCAAAGCCTAGGGTAGCTGATCACACTGCATCATCCACAGGCAGGAAGCAGGAAGGAATGAACTCTGGCACAAGCTTTCTCTCTTCTTACTCAGTCATGACCCCACCTTAAGGGGTCATGCCACCAGCATTCAGGGCAAATCTTTGCTCAGTAAATTCTTTTTGGAAAAACCCTCACAAGCAAACTGAAAGATGTTTCCCTGATGATTCTAAAACCATTATATTGACAATTAAAATTATCCATCAAAAGTCCAATCCTCGTCAACATGACTGCTAAAGGCATCACTTAGAAATTATAACATTCCACCCTTAATCCTAAAGTCTTATTTTGATCTCACAATCCAAAATACATTTGTTTAATCCAACTTTAAACCCCATAGTGTTTAACAGGCCACATTCTGGATGTGTCTTCCCTGATCAGTTAACCTATCTGGAAATACCTTAAAAGGCACACCCAGAAGTGTATTTCCATGGTGATTCCAAATGCCATCAAATTGATAATTAAGATCACCATCACATGACAAATGCCTTTAATCCCATCACTTAGAAGGCTGGGACAAGAGGATCTCTGTGAGTTCTAGGTCAGCCTGGCCTACACAAAGAAACCCTGCCTTGAAAAAACAAAATCAACCATCACAAACACCTAATACAAAAAGTATATTGTGAACACTGGTTCCCCCAATATAGATTCTCCAACTCCCAACTCTATTGTATAATCTACCAAAATGGAATGTCTAGCCTTTGCCTCTAACATCCAAATGCTGGAGCACCCATCCCAGACCCTTCCCTAACTTTAAGAAGAAATCTAGAAGCAAGCGAAAGCCTTCTTCACCCTGAGCTCTCCTTCCGTCGTTTCTCTTCCTCCTGGGCTTGTGCCCCCTTAACTCCTTACTCTCCTGCTTCACCAATTCAACAGTGCTAGCTGAGGTCAGAGCTTCTTAAAAATAGGAAGCTAGTGATTACAGCCTACCCCATGCTTGGGAGAGGCTGTCAAGGTAATAATCTCCAGTGGCTCATCAAGGTATCTCTTTTCCTGCCTCCCCAGATGCCCTGTTGCTCTCTTGTGCCCCAAGGGATACACACATGGACTGCCCATGCAACACCTCTGTGGTACTTGTGCCTCACGTCCAGCTCCCTCTGAACTGGGGCCTCAAGGTTCCAGCACCCCTCAGCCAAGGCTGGTCTGCAGAGGGATGGTGAAACCCTCAGGACACCTGGTACAAAGGAAGGCTGATAGGCAGGGCACAGCAAAGAGGACAGTTACTGCACGTGTTTGGCCACAGGCTTTCTCAGCAATAGAGAAGGCATGTGGGACTGGCCTTAGGGCAGAAGGGAAGGGACGTGCTGGGTCAAAGGAAAGGTTGCAGCTGATGTGGCAGTCTGTATCCCCAGTTCTCACTGGAAATTATACTCTGACCAGTTGCTAACTCCTCAGATCCTTCTAGAATGTTTCCCCACGGGAGCAGACTAGGCAGAGTTGCTCATCCTAATGGCCAGTCCCCTTTCAGGTAACATGCTCTGATACATTTCAGGAGAACCTGCATCTGTTTCTCCTGGAGCCTGGGAAGGGCAGGACATTCTGCTGCCCCGCTTGCCCACCTGGCTTCCAGATAATGGGATGGCTCCTCCGGCCCCAATCCACACTCACCTGGACAGTGCCTGAAAGGCCATGCGTGACACAGCCCCACGAACATAGAGTGCAGGGTACCGCAGGAGCACTGACACGGGCCTGAACAAATGTACGTGGTACAGCATAGTCTCCAGGTCCGCATACAGGCGGTTGCGGAAGAGCATCCTGGAGTCATACAGCACCTTGCATGCTGCACGGTTGGAGGCAGTAACACTAGAAAGAAGGAGCATTAGCATTGACTGTGAATCCTGGGAACACCTGATGGCGTTGCTCTGTCCAGCAAGGGTTTTCTTTTGTTTGTTTAAAAGCAATGGATAGAATGTAATGGTAGTAAATGCAATGGGTAGACCCAGCTTGAGACCCTGAAAACAGTGATGGCTGGGGCCAGCTGTCCCCATGCCTGTTCCTCTGCCTCCTTGATCAGGGATCACCCTTGGTACTCTCTCAGTAGAACCTGGCCAGGTTCCTAAATACAGTTCCCTATAAGTGCCCCAGGTGATGCTCCTGTAAATGAGATCTGTGCCCACCCTCCTGTTTCCTCGGAAACCTCTCCTTGGACACTGTAGTTCCTCCTATGTGAAGTATTTGGGTCATCCACCAAGCTTCCACTCAGATGTTTTAATGGTGTCATACTGATTCATAGAACTTTCGTTTACCATCTCTCTGGCAGCCCAGGATAGCCTGGTCATGATCCCTTCTTACATCTCCTCCTGAGTGCCAGACCACAGGCCGTATCCACACCATGTTCAACACAGTTTGTTGTTGTTATTTTGTTTGTTTGTTTGTTTGTTTGTTTTTAATTCAGTTAAGACTGCAAATTTTGTTTCATACATTGCAAATATTTTCTATTCGTTGCTTTCATTTTAAAAAATGTATGGTATTTTATTGAACAAAAACTACTCCTTTGCATGTAGCTAAAGGATGTATCGTTCTCTCTCTTATTCTTTCTGTCTTACTGGAGAAATTTTTCTCTAGTCTATTATCATGAGTGTGTTTTCTTGTCATCTAAATTTTTGATATTTTTGCTTCTCAAAATTAGATTCTTAAAAATATGAGCATGGTGGTTCACATCTGCAACCCCAGAACTCAGAAAGTTGAGGCAGGAGAATTGGTGGGGATTTAAAAACAACCAAAGCTACTGAGTTCCAGGACATCGTCGGTTACAAAGTGAAACTTTCTATCTCTCTTCCTCCCCCCTCCACCAAAAAAGGATTTTAAAAGTTCAGACCATCTTAGTCTAGCTAGCTGTGCTTTGTCAATCAAGAAAGCACAGAGGGTTATAAAGATGCTGCCACCAGGGAAGTGGGGAAATGAGTAACTACTATTTTTGCAACTTGTGAGTCCTCAATTATTTCCAAGTTCACAGTTTAAAAAGAGGTGTTATAGTCTATTTGCAGCTGCCTTTCATGCACTGTGTGAAGGAATGCTTTTGGAAACCCTTAGCAGAGCAGGCAGAGAGAGAGAGAGGCCTCCTCAAGCTGACAGAGAACAAAGAGATAGATGCCTTACTCCTGACACCACAGAGGAAGGTTAAATGCCTTCTGTGCATGGACAAAACAAGGTGAACTTGCTTATACCCACCACTCACAGAAAACAGCTCTGCAAATCCTCCCCAGAACACCTGGAAACAAAAGACAAAAGCATGCAGACTGAAAGGGGGAGAAGTCACCCCTCTTGCATGATGGCCTATGTAGAAAACACCAAAGAATTTCCCAAAACAAAGACAACTCCTTCACTCAGTGAGTTGGTTTATCAGCTCATAAAAATCAAGTTATGCTTCTGTAAGGGATGAAAGAATATGTGGCACTTGAAACTTAACGTAGTATTTTCAAAATAATAAAACCATAGGATGGAACGAATTTGTGGTTGCTGAGAATTAAGAACTGTAAAGGAAGGTGGGCACAGTTACTATGGCAACAGGAGAACAATCTTTGAGGTGGCACAAATAATTCTGCATCTTGATTATAGTGTCTGCATGATTCACATGTGACAGACTTCATGTGCCCACATGACACAGAACCCTGGGTTAGCTATCACATCAGAGGGAAGCTGGGCAGGGCTACAGAGGATCTCCTGCTCACATTTTTGAGTCTCTGGTTTATATATAATTACCTCAAAACAAAGTTTAAAACCTACATAGAGAGGCTAGAGAGCTAGCTCAGTGCTTCAGGGTACTTACTGATCTTGTAGAGGACCAGATTTTGGTTACCAGCAACCGTGTGGTGACCCGCAACCATCTGTAACTCAAGTTCTAAGGGATCTAATGCCCTCTTCTGTCCTCCACAGGACTGCACACACAAGGTCCACGGCCAAACATGCACATAAAACACTCAAACACGTAAAATTAACTTAATAAAAATATCATCATTTTTTTTAAACCACATACATTTTAATCAGCTGAGTTTGTTTTTATGAATGGCTAAGTTTGTTTTTATGAATAGAATTTGTTTTTATCAATGGCTTGATAGGAACTTGTTTTCCTTTTTTTCCCCCCTGTGGAGAAAAAGTTGTCCAAACTTTTCTCCGAGTTTTTCTACCACAGAGCCCTGTTTGTTCATGTTTCTCTGTCTGGGTTTTTAAAATCAGTTCTTGCGCTGTGACCACGTTACAGGTGTCACTGTATGCCCCACTACATTGCACATTGCATCCTGTGTCACAAGCATCCTGTGTCACAAGCATCCTGTGTCACAAGCCACATTGTGATGATCAGCTGAGAGACACCTGGTTCCTACTTTTTATTTGTTTTGTTTTCTGGGATTTGGGGGTTTGGTTGGTTGATTTTGGGGGCACAGGGTTTCTCTGTATAACAGTCCTGGTTGTCCTAGAACTCCAACTCACAGAGACCCACCTGCCTCTGCCTCCCCTGCACTGTGGCTAAACGTGTGTGCCACCACACCTAGCTGGTTCCTACTTATTGACTACTATATACTATATACATTCATTTACAGATTTTGGTGCGGATATATATTTTTGGTTGTCTCAGGTATACATCTAAAGAGAAGTCATGCTTCTCTCTGGTGTCTCTCAGCTTGTCAGTACATCAGGACAGGCCCACAGTGGTACAGCCCCCTCTTGGATAGAGTAAAAACTTCGGACCACTGGCTGTTACCAAATGAGGTCTGAGGCCATGAAATCTGCCTTCGCACTAAAGAAAGAGCCTGTGCCTCAAACAAGTTAAACCTAACGTTCACAGAGCCCTCTCTTGGTAACTATGTTCTAAATCACCCTAAGTTCTGTTTCATTTAAAAATGCTTATATATCATCATCATCATCATCATCATCATCATCACCATCATCATCAGTGCACCACGGCAACACACATGCATAGAGATCAGGTGGCAACTTTGTAAAGTGAGTTCTTTCCTTTCCTTCGGTGAGTTCTGTAGATTTAACTTGGGGCACCAGGATAACACAGAAAGCACCTATACCCACTAAGCCATCTCACCAGCCCAATCCTACATTTCTCCTTCCAGCTAAAACAGCCAGGTCTGCCTGTTGTCAGTGTCTAGAGGACATTGAACCTGGCCATGGGTTTAAAAGAGCTGTTCTGTTTGCCCTGTATTCAGACTGCCATTGCTTTCTTCTGACTGGGACCAAGTCTACCTACCTGCTCTGGTAACTCTCCCACAGCCGCCTCAAGCCATGGTCTGCCAAGCCTTCTAGAATAAAAAGATGGATCTTCCCATCCAACAGATGGAAGCCAGTGAGCACATCCAGGTTCTGCTGCTCCTGGACCTTCACACGCACCTTGAAGGCTGACAGAATTTGCTGGATGTTCTGGAGGGGATAACTGTCCAGGTCCAGGGCTTTAGCATTGATTATGGTGATGTCCTGTAGCAGGCTCTGTAGGAGGGACAGCTTCTTGACATTGAACACAAAAATGATGCGACCAAAATGGGTACCCATTAGGTCAAACTCAGGAGCTCTGGACCAACTACCCAAGGGTACTGCAATGTCTACTCGGAGCTTGAGTAAAGAGTTTGCCTCCAGGTAGTTGCCTATGGGGATTGAGCTGTGCTGGAGGACATCTGTGGGAGCCTGGAATCCTAAAGCCCTTCTGTTCCTACTATCCTGGCTCCAGTTGGGAGACTTTGGCTCACAGTTGTGGATGGGGACAATGAGGTTCAAGTACTTATAACCAAGGAGGAGGTCAGCAAAACTGACTCTGGCAACCCCATAAGGATCCCAAATCTTGTTCTGTGACTCATAGGGGTTAGTCTCTGTGTCTTTGGAAGAGATGAAAGCTTGGAGATTGAAGTATGAATCTAAAAAGTCCTCTCCAAACAGGGTAGGCTTCCGGGAATACTCCTCTGACTTCCGGTCCCTGTCATGGACTTCAACTACCATGGGGGGTCCTTCCAGGTACTCCCTCACGTCACTGGGGTGCATGGCCCCAAGGAAGATGACATTGATATCGTGAAAAAATACATGAGTCCCATGGGGCTCTCTCTTGGTCTCGTGCACCGGAGTACTGTGGAACTGGTATCTGCAGTAGACAGGGCTGCACAGCCTCTGTAGGAGAGAAGGACAGCACGTCACACTCCACATGTATGCACAAACTCTACAAGAGAGAGGGACAGCATATTCCACAGGTCATATTCCACCTGTGTGCCCAGCATAGCACACTCACTGCCCAAAGTCCTGAAGCCAAGTTTCCTCCTTTATCAGAGACACACTGTGAGGTCAGCACAGGCATGCAGGCTGCGTGAATGAACAAGACACGAGCATCACAAGACACAGGCCACATACAGGCTTAAGGACAAGTGATCTCCCTCCCCTTCCCCAAACAGCAAGTGCCATGGAGACATAGGTGGAAAGCTTCTTTTTACATCTGCTTTTAATTCCAGTCCTAATCCTGGGCACAGACCAGGTAAAGGGAAGTATATTAGCAAAGACAATCCTACTGGGTTGTGACTAAGTGGCGGAACAGGCTGCTGTGGTAAAGCAGATGTAGGAGTGGCTTTGGTGCGGCTGAGGTTCCCTCAGTGCAAAGATGTCTGGCGCTATGACCTGGAAGAACACAAGCCAAAGAAAGGCTACAGCGTAAGAAAAGTGTGAAGAGATGCCTGGATACTAGCAATTACTCCTTTGGTTTTTGTTTCTGCAATGTTAGAGTCAAAGCCAGGAGCTTATGTGTGTTAGAGCGCCACAAAAAGGGAACAAACAGACAAAGCCAGAATAAGTGCATGATAAAGGATGGGGGAAGCGGGCGAGAGGTCAGACAGGAAGAAGAGTGGGGAAAGAGAGCTATGCTTAGAAAGCCTGGCAGCAAGTGTGGAGCAACAGGAGGCAAGCCCGTCCCTGCCCCAGAACTCAGTACTTGGAGACCTAGAGCCTGAGTAGAAAGAAAAGAGAAGCGGAATAGTTAAAGACAGGAGCCTTAGAGAGAAGACTCAGTGATGGCCTGACAGCTTCCCTTTTCTGTCTGAGATCCAGTCCTCGGCAAGTGACTGATCTTTCCTGCATGACTCTTCAGGTTTAGTCTGCAGGAGGATGAAAAGGACTGGACGTGTGAGACCCACACCATGGACCACTCACATCTCGTCCCCACAAGTTCCCCATGCTCTATGTAGGTTCTGACTTCCCAGGCATAAGAATGGGGAGTGCTCAGAGAAGCAGAGCATCTGACAGAAATGACCTAACACTAAAGCGTCTATTAGGGAAAATCCCCAAATGGCAACATGCATAAGTGAATAGGAAATTCCAATCAATGGCTTTTTTCTTAGTTTTGAGACAGTATCTCACTTGTATTCCAGGCTGGCCCTGAAATCATGATCTTTCTGTCTCAGTCTTGAAAGTGATGATATTGCAAGCATGTGACACCAGGGCAACTTCTAGTCCACTTTTTTTTGTTTTATCTTTTTTATTATGTGTATGCATGTGTGTCTGAGTGATACCATGGAGGTGAGGAGGAGGCATCAGATCCTCTGGAGGTGGAATTACAGGTAGTAGTAAGCCACCTTATGAGGATGCTGAGAACCAAACTCAATACATATACAAACACACAAACACAAATATAAACAAACACACAGACACACAAATACACATATATACACAGATACATATACACCAATATACAGAAACATACAAACACACATACACAAATACAAACACACAAATACACACACACAAAAATAAATATATACATACATAAACACACACATACATTTATACACAAACACACAAATATACACACATACACAAATACAAACACATAATAGTTTCTGAAGACAAAAAGAAGATCCTACAATCTTTGAGAAAAGTAACAATGCCTTCAAATGCTGAAGCAATGATTTTTAACCAAGAAGTCTAAACCCAACTGTGCTAGCTAGCTGTTTTGACTTTGGTTGGTTGATTGGTTGGTTGGTTAGTTGCTTGCTTGCTTGCTTGATTGATTGATTGATTGATGGATGGATGGATGGATGGATGGTTGGTTGATTGATTGGTTTGGTTGGTTTGATCGTTTTCTTTTGGGTTTGGTCAATTTGGCACAACCTGGAGTCACCTAGGGAGGCAGAATTATTAGTTGAGGAACTGCCTCAGTCAGATTGGCCTGTAGGAAAGCATTTTCTTGATTAGTGATTGATGCAGAAAGGCCTAACTTAAGCCTATTGTGGGTGGTGCCACCCTAGAACAGGTGGTCCTGTGCTATACAAGAAAGCAGTCTGAGACAGCCTGTTCTACATAGAGAGTTCTAGGACAACCAGGGCTCCACAGAGAGACTCTATCTCAAAAAGAGAGGGGGAGAAAGAGAGGGGAGAGAGAGAAAGAGAGAGAGAGAGAGAGAGAGAGAGAGAGAGAGAGAGAGAGAGAGAATATGCTGAGGAAGCCATGAGGAGCAAGTCAGTAAGCAGGGTTCCTCTGTGGTTTCTGCTTTAGTTTCTTCTCCAGTTTCCTGTTAGAGCTCCTTTCCTGGCTTCCCTTGGAGGTGGACTCTAACCTGTAAAATGTAATAAACCCTTTTCTCCCCAAGTTGGTTTTGCTCAATGTTTTATAGAAAGCAATCTATGACGCCAACCAAACTATTTTCCAAGTAGGAGAGCAGGAAATATAAAGAACATGTAAATATTCTTTTAGAATATGAAATGTAATGGCAGGATACATGCTAAAGGATGTGCTTCAGCCAAACCAATGAGCACACACACAGGAAGAGGGAAGCAGTCCTCCACACGGTGATCCAGAGAAGAGGGGGCAGGATGCACTGGCACTGAGCCTGGTTGGTTTACAACAGCGTCTATCTGCAGGCTGAGGCCATGACAGAGAATCCCACACACTTCTAAGCAGGCCAGTGATCTCCATTGGTAGCACACTTAGGGAGTAGTGGACAAGCTCAGGTCTGGTGGCTCCAGCTCTTGCGACACTTGTCTCTTTCATGTCTCCCTACAGAACCCCAAGTGGTGAGTGGATGCTATTTCTCACATCAAGTGCATGAAAGATTAAAGATGCCACACGATAGCCACCTGGGTGGGATAAGGAGGTGCTCTTAGTGGAAAAAGCAGGGGTTCATTCTTACCTCCAGATCATGAATGGATACAGGCTGGATTGGAAGACAAGAGGCGGACCTGATCTTTATGGTCAGAGGGTTCAGGTCTTGTTTTTGCTGTTCAGTCATGATAGGAACTTCTGTTTTTAAAGTCAAAAAGCAATCTAAAATGTTGGCCGACTTCTCACTGCCACGGCAGATGACCGTTTGCCATCCTAGAAGAAAATATCTGCAGCATTAGCCCCCATTAGCCATGGCAGTCAGGAGCAGGTTCTCATCCCAAACCTGATGATAACAAATTCATGTCACCAGAGCCAATAATAAATTTATAACGACAGGGATGCTAGCATCTCTGGTACAAGATGATACTCTGCAGACTACCAAAGGAGAAATGTAAACACCAAGTCAGCAGTTGGAACGACGCTTGTGGGAGTAACCAGCCAACATCTGATTTGATATATGGCCCATTCCATGAGATGGAACCCATACCTGATGCTATTTGGGTGGCCAGGAACCTGAGTTAGATAGCCCAGGCATCTAGGATAAAACCAAATACTACTATTCTGGCACTCCTGCCAGGAAACACAGCAAACATTCTGTTGAACTAACTGGAAGCTCAGGCTGCACCCCCACACCCCTGCACCTTCACACTTCCACATCCCTACACGAACACCCACACCCCCACCACACACAGCACCCCACACCTCCACCAAGGACACGTTGGGCTTCTAATGCCCTTAAGCCAAGAGACTAAGAAAGCAATACCAGTGTTAGGGAGTGTGACTGATCTAGAGTGCCAATGGGATTAGACTGCTTTCCCACAATTCGAGTAAGAAAGATCATGTCTGGAGTGCAGAAGATCCTTTAGGGCTACTTTATTCTGTGATTAAAGTCAATGGGAAACTACAACAACCTACCCCAGGCAGGAGGACAAAGGGCACAGACTCTTCAGGAATGAAGGTAGATCACTCTTCCAGGGAAAGAGCTAAGACCTGTGAGGTGTTTGCTAAGGGTGGAGGAAATACACAGTGGGTAGTAGAGGAAGGTAGCTATAAATACCAGCTAAGGCCATGTGACCAGTTGCAGAAAAGAGGATTATAACTGATATGAGAGTTTCTGTTGTATTTTGTTAAGAATGCATTCGTGCTGATATTCATCTCCTCAAGGGACAGTGACACCTATTCTAAATTTACAATGTTTGCAGTTGTATGTGAAATAGTTATGTCAGGCATAATTATGACATGGTTAATATATAATGCATTTGCAGTTGTATGTGATAATTATGTTAAGCATAATTATGACTTAGTTAAATGTACACTGTTTGCAATTGTACATGGGATAGTCATATCATGTTAAGCATGATTATGACTCAGTTATTGTTTTCATCTGGAAATTGAGCATGACATGAGGAGATATGATTTTGTGTCAGGTTGACAAGGAGTGGACTTGTGATGGCTATTCTTGGTTATCAATTTGATTACATCTGGAATTAACTAAAATTCAAGTGGCTGGGCACAGCTGGGAGGGATTGTTTTTGTTTTGTTTTGTCTTTTGTTGCTTGATTGGTCAGTTTGGTTTGGTTTGTTGTTGTTTTGTTTTGTTTTGGGGGTTTTGTTTTTAGAGACAGGGTTTCTCTGTACAGTGCTGGCTGTCCTGGAACTCACTCTGTAGACCAGGCTGCTCTCAGACTTACCGAGATCTGGCTGCCTCTGCCTCCTAAGCGCTGAGATTAAGAGAGTGTGCCACCACTACCCAGCAAAAATTGTTTTAATTAAATCATTTGAAGTAGGAAGACCCACTTCTAATCCTGACCTTCGAACTGGAAAGATCTACGGACCACACCTTCTGCTGACATCCTATATAAAGAACATGGAAAAAGGAAGCTTGCTCTCTCTTTGCCTGTTCTCTCTCTCTCTCTCTCTCTCTCTCTCTCTCTCTCTCTCTCTCTCT